CCTGTATAAATGCTATCCCGAAAAACACTGCTGTATAAGTGTGTACTTTTTATTACTACGGAAATTTATTCACTCTTACTCTGTAAGCAATTACGCCTCTTGGTTTGAGACGTTCGGCACAAGTGCGCCAAACGGCCTCTTTGTAGGTCCAGAAAAGTTGGGAAACCAAGATACCTCCTATCCTCGTGCGAAAAGTTCCTATAAGTCAGGTTTAAGGAGGACTTCTTTATTTATTATTTGCAAAATATGCGGTTAGTTTTATACGGGTATCGGAAAATTACACATTGCAAACGTCTTAGAAGATGTAAAGAGCTGCGTTTTGAGCATTTCCTCTACAAGATTTTATCGATTTTAAACATGCATGGAAAATAAGTGGGAAAAATACACACTGCTTAAGGAGTGACTTTTATCGTAGTCAGGTTTACACTGTTGGCTGGGAAGATGCACCTTTTAAATCTAACATGTCGCCTCATTGAAAACATCTGGAATCTTTCCTACTAAGCTTTGCGATGCCACCACTATCAACACCACTGTAGTTTTTTTAAAATTCGGAAGTGTATTGAAAATTTTCCGCATACTGTATCGACCGGTCGTGGCCTTTGAAAGCAGGGATCATACCCGTCTTGGGAAGACATTGAGTCTTCCGAGGTTTCCATCCATAATTCAAATCGCCGCTGATCTCGATATAAGATTAACGGTGGCTGAAAGTGATAGCAATAGTGGCGGTTGGTCACGAGATCAGTTGAGAATCGCAGACAAGTTACTGTCCAGTCGAGGTCCATCGGTGGTTGTCGCGGTGTTACACGTGATTGGCGGCGATGGTAATGGCGATTATCAATCCTCAGGCTTCTTGCTATCCCTAATACACAACTGGTTTCGGCTTGTCGCCATTTCTTGTCGTATTCCTAGCCAAAATATTTGAGCATCTTCTACCACAGTTAGCGGCAGAATTCGGTCTCTCGCGCCTATTTCCCAGTCCAGTGGGATACCCTTTAGTTATGCGTAAACGGAAAGAGTATGTGGTACTGGCTGACTTCTGTTTTATACGGTGGTAATAATATCTGATCTAGCCGGCCTCAGTGATGTGCCTTGTGTCATAACTTATTACGGGGACCTGATTGGTTCAGATCATTCCCCAGCACCGCGCGCACAGAAATCTTTGTCGTCGCCGGCGAGGCGTCGGGCTTAGAAGACCAACGATTACATCGTGAAGCAGCGATGAAGATCATGTCTGAGTCACTTAGACTGTCATTGGATGGTCCGAACTATCCTTGCAATGTTGAAGCGGGTGCGGATTGTGCTATTCGAGGTGAAGTCGAGTTAATTCACTCGCAAAACAGTTCTCAGGCAACGGCTATCGAGAACGACTCAGCGTTCATAACCGTAGGGGTGTCCAGTACTGCTGGCAACATCGACCATGCCACAATGTCACATTCACTCTGTTTCCGTGTGACACTTAGTTATTTGGGCCGTCTTCCTCACCAAACTGTCGGCCGTTAGTCAAGAGATGTACCCTTTGGTCAGAAATGAGATTTATAAGTGCTTCGTAGACTAACCAAGTGGTTTGGCTGTGTAGCACACCGGAAACCACATTCTTCGGATCTTCGGTGTTTGATGCTAGTGCGACTATGCCGGCGTAGTCCAAATCAGTCAGTTGGTGTCCATATGTGCATCACCCAGCACTCTTCCAAAAATCCATTAAATGATATCTTTACTAACAGTACCAGTGTACAAAGTTACAAATGGGAGGGTTCCGGTCCCTGCCGGTATCAATCTGACTTTCCGGGTGCTGGTTTTTGTCAGTTAGTCGTGTTGTGAGACGTTCAGTGCCCACACGGCCGGTGGGTCTTCTAGCGATGACAGCTGTGGGTAAATTCTGAAATTCTGTGGATGGAAATCGGCCTGATTGGCCGATCAAGCCAAAAAAGTCAACATGTGACATATTTTATCTGCCGTTCAGAAGGAAGTCCTCACCCGCCGTCACTGACTGTAACAAATGAAAGCCCTACTTAAGTCAGTCGATCTGGCCGCTGGCAGAAGACTTGTTGGGTGCTGCGAGCGCTCCAATTTTCGGTTTTAGGGTGGTTTTTCGAGTCCGGGAGGTTGGTGTGCAAAGAGCCGGCCAGATCCGCTGTCGCCGACCACCACGCGTGAGGGAAGCGTATAGGGCGCCACCTGGGTCAGAATTACAGTAGCAGCAGGTCTAACTGACATCTTCCCACGACCTGGGCTTTGCGCGTGAAGGACGAGTGAAACCTGGAGATATTTGACCACCACCGTTTGAGGACCATTTTGCGACTGAAGTTCACCGACTTCGTCTCAAATGTGACAGTCCGCACTCGCTGCGACATCGCAAGGATAACTCAGGCCATCCAAGAAAGACGACTGAGGTGGTTCGGCCATGTTCTTCGTCGTCCACCGCCGGAGCTCAGTGTTACTGCCCTCGATCCGACACCGTTGCTCCATTGGAGGCATCGAAGAGGGAGTTAGTTGAAACCCTGGCTCGACTTGAAGGTGGTTCTTGGACCTTCGGTATTTGGTCTACGTCGTTGACGAAGGGAATGGGTTGAGCTGTCCAGATCTGCTGCTGCGGATCGTCACGCGTGGGGAGGTGCAGTTCGGCACATCATCGAGGCCGGCTAGATCATGCATGATCGCAGCCGTATCAAGTACATGTACAATCTGATTCATTTGCTGACGTTGCCTCTGCGTTGAACAAATGCATGCCTCTTCTGTTTCGTACCACCCCCGTTTTTTTTCTACCTAGGTTCGACGAATCCCAGCAGAAACTGGTGAACGAGGAACTGAACGTCGCTTACAGTATCATCGATGGCATACCTTGTCTCATTCCCGAGGAGGGCGAAATGCGTTCCTGAGCAGGGCTATGCAGGATCACCACATATTTTTTCGAATAACTTGTGTTTTCTAGTGCATAAAAAATAATCAGGTCTTAACAACGCCACTTCTGCTTTCTTCCCAATTTCCTTGATTGGTGTTTTATGCATCGCTGATTAGCGCCATTATCCGGTCATTGATTCCGGCATTGTGCCACGACCGTCCCTTGAGGTGTTGTTGGCCTGTTGTTTTGCAAAATAAGAGGTAGCGTTCTCATACACTAAATGCCTCGAACCGTTCGCCGCGATGCTGATCGCCGGCTCGACAACACACGAATGGCTGCTCGCAGCGGGCAAATCGAAGCCAAGTCTGACGCATCTGGCGTGCTCCAGCCTGAATAGCGGCACGACGTATGTTCATCTTCTCTATTCATCACCAAAAGGTCAGCTTCTCTTAGTTTGCGGATTAACGACAGGCAATATGGGCATGTAACAGTTCGGCCGTCGCAATCGACGATGTCCATCGTGTGCCTCACAGCAAGGTAAAGCGGGCACAGTGACTTTCGTGTGACCAGGATTTTAACCAACAACAGCAGCACCATGAAGGGTTAGAAAGACGAGGATGACTGGGCAACTGTGCACACGACCTGTATCCCCAGCCGGAACGTCACAGCATTCAGCGACAGGGAACCAGGTGCCAGAGAACTTCCAACGCACACCAGGCTGCGAAAGCAATGGTTTGCTGATCCTGACATAGCAGACAAGGGAGACTTGAATGGCCATTTCTGGCTTATTAACCGTCGTCAGCCAGCCATACCCAAGCCCGAAGTGTGGAACACCCGAGCCTCGAACTCGCGACCTGTTGGTTTAGAAGTCAACGCCTCTACTCACCGGGCCACGAGCCCGTTGCCCTGTCGGTTTTCGATCGAGAATATACAATGGTAGGGGGCGCTCACCGATCGTTCATACGGAACTCACTCGTTCCGTTGTACCTTAAGGGCTCTATCTCGAGCCCAACCAGCAGCCGCACAGCGGGCCACCGGGCTCGTGGCCCGGTGAGTAGAGGCGTTGACTTCTAAACCAACAGGTCGCGAGTTCGAGGCTCGGGTGATCCACACTACGGGCTTGGGTATGGCTGGCTGACGACGGCTAATAAGCCAGAAATGGCCATTCCAGTCTCCCTTGTCTTTGTCGGTAATAGCGTTCTGCCTATATATCATGCGCCGCTGTGCGGCTGCTGGTTGGGCTCGAGAGAGAGTCCATAAGGCCCAACGGAACGAGTGAGTTCCGTATGAACGATCGGTGAGCGCCCCCTACCATAGCAGACACTCACAGAAATTTAGGCCCAGAAAGGTGACACGCAATCCTGCGTTTAGCCTGGGCCATTGCCCCTCAAAGGCCAGGTTACCAGTCCGTCATCGACTGAGAGGCACTACCTGCAAGGGACATGAGCATGTAATGGTGCTTTAACAGTCGTGAACTGAGATGGTGAACTGCGCTTGAGTTTATTTATATTGCCGCAGACCTGCGCTGCATCTGCCTCAACAAACCCACAGTACTCCGATAGCGAAGCTAAATCAACACTATCGGAGGTGTGCATATGTGCAAAAACAAGCAAAGCTAGGTAGCATGTCTACGCGTGCCACGCACGATCCAGACCAAACTCGCATTATCCAGACCGCACCAAATGGCACATTTCTCGCCTGAGTGAGATGTGCGCATGCTGGCATGCGACGTTTCATCCGTCATACTAACGATGGCGCATTCTGTCCCTTGCGTTTTACAGTGCAGTTGTAGGACTTACTGTTAGTAGTTGTCGTTTACACGCGTGTTTGCGTGTGCAGGTAGGACGAAGTCCTGTTAGGGGGGCTGGACCGTGGACTTTCATGGATGTACATATGGCCAAACAGGCCCCTGCAATCACAGAATGTCTTGGGACAGTGTGAGCAAATTCGGAGGGGTTAGTCGGTGGAGTTTTCCGCGCAAATCGAGATCGTGTACTTGCAGTCTAGTCTAATCAGTACAGGCACTAACCGTACTGCAGCCCACGCTGACAGAGGCCATATGTCTCTATTGCACCTCCCCCTCCCGTACGCGAACCACTCTAATTATGCCCATCCCCCACGAAGCCGGAGTCGTGACTCCTGGTAGGAGTCGCCGGGACGTCTAAGTAGCGTTTTTTAAAGATGACCTGCTCACCCCCTCCCCCTTCAAGTGGACCTTTGTGAGACAACAAGCCTGTTGCCGCCACTCAACCTCCCCCCACTCCAACGTGACTCCCCTCACTGACAGCGTAGAGTGCTCGCTTTTTAAAATTATCCAGTGGCCAACCGGTCAGGAGGGAGGACCGCTCCGTTAGAGGGCAGACACTGTCACGTGCACCGAGACCCGCCTCTCGGAACAAAGGTAGTTGAATGGGGTTATTACAAACTCCATCTGGTGTGAGCGACTGTTAAGTACCCGGAGGAGGGGCACTATCGATGCCTTCTCCATCAAAAAGTACGATAAGGATGAAGTACATGACCGGGGTAGGGTTACTATGGAAAACAGCCTGTTATATTTATCTACAGTGGATGTGCTAACTCATGAAATGTTAATGGTGGGGGGGGGGCGCTCACCGATCGTTCTTACGGAGCTCACTCGTTCCGTTGTGCCTTACGGACTCTCTCTCGAGCCCAACCAGCAGCCGCACAGCGGCGCATGACATAGGCGATATGTTATTACCGACTTGTCTCTGTCGGTAATAACACACTGCTCATGAAATGTTGACCGAAATTCTGAAATGCGTTTTCGACCCGAAGAGATTGCCAAAACAGGATGGTAATATTAGTCCCCGTGCATCATAATCCTATGATAATCCAGCTACTTCAGAATGCCGGCTTTTTAACGAATCTACAGAAGCCACACCGTAAAAAGTAGCTACTCAAGCAGCGCGAACCCTTTGGTTTTCGACGACCCTTCATAAATTTTATGGGAAAAATCCATAAAAATATTCATTCTTTGCACATTTTGTGGAGAATTACGTCTTCAAGTCTTATTCTTGAAGGAAGAGTATAATTTGGTTCTAAGAAAAAGTTTCAGTTCCTGAATGATTTTGAAGCCGACCTGCTGTTGCAGTCTCATTCAAGGTTTCCAGACTACAACCTGCATATTTCACGTGTGCAGGAAATCAGATATTTGTATATGCCATTAAGAGGAGGCCATATGGAGTTGATGAAATTCTACAGTGGATTTGAACCATATCGTATACCTTAGAGGCAACAGTAGTAAATGCAGAGGCACGATGTTTTATGAAAGGACATTTCACGATCTTAAAAAATCCCATAATTAGAAACTTTTTAAAGACCGAATAACTACCTTTCCTCAAGCATAAAATTTAAAGAAGACGTATTTTCCTACCAAATGAGTAAAATTATGAATGTTTTTACGCATGTTTTCCATGAAATATATCAGAATTTATAAGGGCATCGAAAATCAATGGGAAGAACTCATAATACTTAAGCAGTACTTTTCTAGTGTGGTTTTTGCAGGTGGCCGGAAAGAGGTGCGTTCAAAAGCTGGCACTCTGAAGTAATTGAATTAACGTGGGAATATGCTGCACGGTGATTAATATTACATCCCTACCTAAGTAATCTTTTCGAATCGAAAACGCATTTCAGAATTTCGGTCAAAATTACATGGGTTAGCACATCTACTGTACGTAGACGTTGTTCGGTAGTTTCTGGTCGGAGTCCAGTCACGCCCGTAGACAGCTCTTTGAGATAAACTGCCTCGAGGACGCGATGCTGCAAAAGTGTCCGTATAGACCCATTGTTCTACACTCCCACATGTAACTCTTTAGTAAAAGGCAACAGATTTGTCCCCAGTTGGGGGGATGCTAGAGACGTCTTCCTATGCATAATCCCACTGCCAACATTGCCATCATGTCCGGATAACTAAACGTAGGACATTACTGAGGAAAAAGACACGATCGCCGGGACAAGAGCTTTATTAGCCTGACGTTTCGGATTCCTGCTCGAATCCATCATCAGAGACATAAGCAGATACGGGTGTTTCATGCACAAGGGTTGCAGTATTTATCGGATGCAGTAGCCATGCTACCGCATACCAATGAATATTCACGGCTCCCTCCCCTCATCAGGGATCGTTGCACGTGGCGTGATGGCCGACATTCGCGTCTTTAATTGCTGCAATTTCATCACGTGCGTTGGACGTTGGTGTGATAATTGCTCGACCATCTGACGCGCTGACACGGGTGTTGGGAAGAGTGTCCATCAAGGCGCTCCCCGCGTGGCCAATTACTTCGCCTAGACGAAGTCTAAGCACGATGTATTGAACGGGAAGATCATTGCACTTGTTAATGGACTGGGGGCCAGTAAACCATGACTCAAGCAGCTCTCGGCTCACGCGGTTGTCACCTCTTGCGAGAATTTCGGCCTCGTCAAATTTGAATGTGTGGCCGGAACCCGTCGAATGAGCCGCAACTTGAGAGCTGGCGTCATTTCTCCGCACTGCTGCAGCGTGTTCGGCCATTCGCGTTCGGAGCTGTCTTCCGGTTTCTCCAACATAGTTGCTTTGTCCGCAACTGCACCAGATCCGATAAACGACTCCAGAAACGTCTGGAGAGCGGAACCTCAGTAACACGCTCGTAACAGGCGAAGGATGCTGCGGAATGCTGGGCCGACTGCCGCCTACTTAGGCTAAAAATCCAACAACGAGGGCAGTGTAAAGGCACCATCGAAACTGAACACTATAACTAACTGGACGCAGACGGGAAGTCCCTAATGAAATGAACTGTCTGGAACACACTAAAGCCCCGAAGACGAAGACCTTGAGCAGAAGTGGCGGGATGCGATCTATCCCACTGATGCCATTGTGTAACGTCCCACGACCTCGATAGGGTTGTTTGAATGAGGAAGCACTTTTTCATATTGACCCAACTGTGAAAATCTCGGCGCCTCGGTGGGATTCGAACCCACGCAGTAAGGAGAAGGCTTTAGCGCAGCCAACGCTCTAACCACCTGAGCTACGAGGCTGCGCTA